CTTCATTTACTGAAAAATTGAAGAATGGACTGGCAACTTGTCGCCTCCCGCCTCCAATGTGGCCGGCCGTCCGAAAGCGGAGGTCCCGGCGCCCGTGGACGCTCCGCCCGGGAAACCGCGCGCAGCGGCACCGGCGGGGCGCACAGTGCGGGGCCAGCTGCTTGGAGTGCCGGGCTTGGCCTCGTACACTTGCCATATGCGATGTGGTCAAGCCGTGTCTGGGGCGACGCAAAGTTGAGAACCCATGATTTTGGCTTGCTCTATAGAATGAGTTGAAATCAAATCCCCCTTTCCCTGAGAAGCAACGGTTCTCTCCCGGCTGACCGTGAACAAATCCCATGATAAATCCCTGGATGGGTCAAGAAGAGAAAAACAACTTTTCCCAACAACCTGCCCGAAATGTTTGATGGAGGTTTCCTCTCCCATAAGGGAAAATCCTTTCCCAAACAACCAGCCCAGAACATGCTTCCATGGAAAGCGCTTCCAACACAATTTTGGAATCCATCGGCTGCAACTGGAACAAAGGCATTCCGTAACCTGGTATTTCCCGTCCGAACGAGGCCTCGTCTGCCGTAGAGCCTGGCATGGTCCGATTCACAAGAGCTGCCGGCTTCCAACACAATTAATTGACATGGAACCCAACAACCCGCAATTTTTAGAGGAATCTCATTTGGGGGCCGCCCTTCTTAGGTTCCATGTTAACTTGTTTGCAACACAACATAAAGATCCGATCGGCCAAAGGTAAAGTTTGGCCTCCAAAACAAAAACAACATGGCACAAAAACAAATTTCGATCTGGACCCTCAAACTACCCCGAAAAAGGACATCATCAACCATATTTTTCAGTTGCAATATCACCGTTGTTTAAGGGTGGTGTGTGTGTTTTCGAAGCCCTAAACTATCTAAAAATCAGGGGACCTAATGCTCAGCCCACCTGAAATTTCTACTATCATCATTTAGTAAGTTCAAACATGCACGATGTTATGCTCTGGCTCTGTCTTTTCTACCTTGTCCCAGCATGAAGCCTTGGATACCTAGGTAGAACCAACCACCCGCCAACGGATTTTCCCCAACGACAGCTCCATCAGTTTGCGAATCCCAGACTTGGGATTCGAAGGCGCGTATTCTGGGAGGATTGCTGGGTTGCTGGGAGTGTCCGAGGCTGGTGGGGATTCTCCTTGACCTTCTTCTCTACCCTTTCCCATTCCCAACATCCCCAAGAATGCTGTCGAATCCGACTTCAAGGGTTGAAAATGGCACAAATCAGTTATCGGGTGCCGGGTGTTGGCCGGGAATAATGTCACATAATCATATATAATTCACCTGCCGGACATCAGGAATCCCAACGGGAGGTTCTTTTGACTCGTTCAAAATCTTGACCAGTAATCTTGTCCCCGGATTAATCAAGCGCAGGTTCATAGTGAAACGGGATAATTGTCCAAAATTCACAAGAAGCTTCCCTTGAGACGAGAGGAATTTACACCGGTCTCTCCCTTCCTATTTGCCCATCAAGCTCCCTGGGCGGACAAGTTGCTGATGACGAAGCCTTTCATGCCAGAACTTGGGATAAGCTTACAGCCCACTTCAAGGACATGGGAAGTTGGAAACGCTCGCTTCCTGCTTTTCCAGAACATGAGAAATGGAACCCTGAAAATTGAAGTTTTCAGATTTGAAGGGTCGCAAGTAGAACCGGGTGGTGATTTTCATCGCCCCCACCGCCCCTGAAAGTGATCGGATTCTGATCGGATCATATCTAAAATGGGACACCCCGGCAGTCATCAAGGGGCTACCAATCCAGGGTCCCTCCACAAACAACCACTCGTTCCTGGTGAACCCACAAACAGAATTCTCCCCTCCCAAATCAATTGCAATTGGAAAGGGGCGCCCTCGCGAAGGATCTTCACGGGCCGAATCGCTGGAACCGCTCGTTCTAGCCACGGTTCGCGCTTCCCACCCCAAGTTCCATTCGAGTCACTGGGAAAATGAAACCAGGAGTCTGCACCCTCAAAGGGCGGTTCCTTTTGCCCGTTGTTTGATGAGGGTCAGAAGGAAACGCCAGCTGGAATCACAGGGGTCCCCCCCATTCTATTTTTACAATATGCGTTTCCCACGTCCCGCCTCTGCTCGGCGTCGGCAAGGGAGGCCTCGGCAAGGTTGATGTTGTGTTGTTTTTGTTCTGCCGGATGTCCGTGGAGAGAACATGAGGTCACAAGAACGGATGTAGCTCATGAGGGCAGTTCTAATCCGCCAGTTGCTCTTGACATTGCAGGTTCCGAAACCTTCTGCACAGCCGAAGGCTGCGCCAAGGGTACCTCCCGCGAACCTCGCCTTCTTCAACATGCTGAGCTTCCACAGGCGGAAGCTCGTGCGCGCGCGTGTTCTTGAGCTTTGACTTGCTGTTCCCTCCCCTGCTCAAGTTTGGCTCCCTGCTCAAGTTTGGCTTCCGCGGCACTTCTGCGAGTGTTGTGTTCTGTTTGTGGCTCCAATGTCTTTCCAGCACAAACTAGCCGCTGGCCGGGAAGGGCCCGTCAGGGCGGGCCTTCGAAGCTTCCGCGAAAGGCCCCACTTTTGGTGACTCCGCCTTTACACCATCTTGCAATTTCCTTTCTTATTTGTTCTACTCCGCTCGGAGTATTCTTGAAGAGCAAAAGTCTGAGGAAGCTGCTTGCAAGCCTTCCGCGTGCCGTGCGTGGGCTCAGGGACAGCTGTTTCAGAATGTCGGCTGCGTGACGAAAATGGCCACGAGAATTTAGAAGCCGCTGGCCTTTGAATGGGGTTCTGGGTACTTTAAAACACCTCCTGTTCAAGATCATGAGAGAGTCATGTGAAAATGGTTGATATTGCCACAGAGCTAAATACCTTTTTGACAGGTTGAGGCCCAATTGAGGGTCCAGGTTTAGCCCCTCGCCAAAGCCTACCGCCCAGACCTTTGGATCAAAGGTCACCGACCAAACCTCGAAGGACCCGGAAGACTGAACCCCAATCCTCCTGCCTGTGATATCTGATGCTTACCACAAGTAGCAACGAATCAACAGATCTAGAGACTACAGATGTGACTAGCCTCTTTGACCAATTCAAAACTTGGCCCACAACAAAAAGTACAGATAACATGATCTATGTTCTCCATATTTAGTCTACCCCAAATACCAAACATGTTTGGAGGAGACCCCAGAAAACGATCTGTCCGAAAATGATATCCCTAAGCTTTTGTTATCAAAATGATTTGTGCTGGAAGTTTCATGATAATCTCTTTTTTTTGAAGGGGTCCTTTCTCTGTCTGAGGCATCCGCAATTGCTTGCCCTGCGTCGACCGGGATGGCCTGCGATCGCCCACGTCCGAAGTGGCAAACATGGTAGACTTGGCCAAAGAAAGGGCTCTTTCTTGAGGGAGTCACCCGCTTCTAATTCCTTCGGAGATGGCGATGGCTTTCCGATTGGTTTCTCAACATGACTCGTCATCTGGAATTGGGAGATTTCACTTAAACATGGATCTTCAAGGCGAAGCATGGCTGAGCTGGCGATGGTTTGCGCAGACTGAATCTACGCAATTGTTTTTCAGAATGCACTGTTTCAACCTTCCTTTTTCAACATGAGCCAACATTACTAAAAACTTCAAAACATACCACCCATGGAAAAAGACAGCGGAGACAACCCTCGACAGCTTATTTGCCTTGTACGCACAAAAACGGACGTTGTTCGAAACTCATTGACGTTTTGGTGTAAAACATAACTTAATCTCTGTTTACTCAACCTGCAAGTACACATCCTTTCTCCTTGCTACAATCACCAACTACACAAAGCTGAAAGCAATGGGATTTCACTTGGGCGGCCTGTGACAAACATAATAAGTATAGTCGGCCACCGCGTGGGATTTGGCAATCACCGCCCCGCCCAACAAAGGTTTTTCTCCGCTACATAATTCGTGTTGACCCCCACCTCTTTCACGCAAACATAAGGGTTTGTCTAAGAGAGGGGATCCCCAAAAGGCTTCCCTTTAGAATCAAACGAAAAGGGGGTACCGTGCAAAAACCCCCCCCACAAGAGCCCAAGACCTCGCAAACGGTTGGAGTTGAGGCTGATCAGCATTTTTTGGATCTAATGAGGCCAACAGGCACACACACCATACCCTAACCACATGTGATCGTCAAGGGGGTTGTGAAGGTTGCCAAAAGGGTTGCCGGGGAAAAACAGTCAAAACTTGCCATGCCTCGGCGGAAGACCAAGCATGCTCAAAATTCGAAAGGCTTCCGCTCTGGCAATGCACCAAGGAAACTCACCTTCTTAACATGGGCCCGGCTTCAAGGAGGATGTTTAACTCGCTTCCTGCATGGATTGGCAAGACAAAGCCAAAACTGATTGTTTGTCATGAAAACGGTTCAACGCCAAAACGTACGCAGTCCAGGAACTCAGGGAGTGAGTTAAAACCACCAGGGGAGTGAGAGACACGTGGATCGTGGCTCAGAGGCGCCTGGGGTTGCGGAGCTGTTGGCGTTTGGCCGCAGCCATGGCGTAGCTGCCCCGGGCCTAGCGATACCAGCGATCGATCGCATCAGATCGCTTCGATCGTCGGATGGCGTGATCCGGGTTGTTGATCCCCAGCTAAATCACGTCTCTCTCTTTGACAATGGGAAAAATAATGGACAAAATAGTATGTGTATGTATATATATATATGTATTTGTGTATATATATATATATATATTGAGGGCAGCCTTTTTCGGTTGGCTTAAAGGCATACCGAAAGAAAGACCGGCATTTTGCTGGTTTGGCTATATGGCGATATGGCATAATCCCTCTAAACTATAAACATCAGGCAGATGAACAAATTGGGACAAGGAATAGTTGTCCTCTCCCATATCCCCCAAACATCGGAGACAACTCATCCGAAAAAGTTTACAACTTCCCTTGACGCATCACTATGCAAAAAGGAGACCTAGCTGAAAAATGGCAACACAAAGGATTAAACATCCCCCTCCCGCGAACTGGCGGCACTCGTTTTGCTGTCAGAAGCAGATTCCGCCACTCACCCCGAAGAGCCGCATGAAAGGGACGAGGATCACTGCCTCAGTCAATTGCAGGTGCGTCTGAGGTGGCCCCTTGGCTTACCTGTTAAACCATTCCAAGTGAAAGTGAGCGGGGGTACCTATTTAGAGCCACACACGAAAACGGGCCACTGCGCCTACCCAACGGGTCGCCAACGCTGCCTTCTTGCCCCCTACATACAATAGGAGTCGGTTTCGGGCGCTGCTGAAGTGGACTAGTGGACGCTGTATTAGCATGGGAGTACCATCCAGTATGGACCCCTGACCACTTGCAGTGGATGATCATGATCCCCTGCGACTAGACATAGCCATTTTGTGGTGAGGTGTGTTTTTGTTGCAAGGGAGGGTCAGCATGCGATTGACTCAAAGTAGGTAGCCTCCGCTTCTCTCAAACCATGGCCCATCCCCACTTTGCAACCAAACGCATATTATGTAAATTATGTTCATGATTACTCTCCAGTCCACGAACATGGGCCCTGACCGAGGGGTCTTGGAAAATGATGTTCCCTCTGGTGGGTATGTATCAAAATTCAATCCCAAAACATGAGATGCCGGTCATATCGGAGGTTGGGCCAAATAAAATACATCTCGAACTATCCAGTGTTGTTTTTCAGGCAAGTGGACCCAATTTTGACTGGTTGGTTGGCTCTATTGGGGAACCCAACTCAGTCAACGTTTAACCTTAGACCTAGGATTTATGTTGCTTCACCATCTTTGTGCTACAGGCCCCTATGCCGAGAAATTCACATGCAAAACGGCGCCGAACGTGCGATCGAGCAAATGCTCTAGGAGTGAACATTCTCCTGCGTTTCGCTGTCTTATTGGCGGGCTTCCTTTCAGGATTCCCTCCAAATTGGGACACCCCTCCCAAGTTGTCAACCAGGGGCTTCCATTATCCATGAAGAGGGCCAATGCTGCAGCCCCATCATTTCCTGGTTGGTGCAGTGTGGATCAAGTCTTCTGGTCCTTCTGAACCATTGGGAGTATAGATTGGGATTGATAAAATTGTCACCATCAATAACTATAATTCAAAGCTGCTGCATAATTGTTTGCTGCACTTACTGCATATGAGCAAATTTTCGCATTCTGTTCATGAATCACGCTGGTCATCCCTGAATTAAACTAACTAAACTAATAAGGTCATTAGGTCTGGAGGTTACAGTTGGATGAGACTCTGAGATGCCGTTTAACTGGCTTGTTTAGTGTGCGTGGTTGCAAATGAAATATGATCAGTCACTTACAATTTCTGATTTAGATTAACATGTGACTTTTTCATGCCAATGTCTAACGTAGTGCAACCTGTAGCACTATAGTTAAGTCAGTTAACCAGTCAGTTAGTGTCAGTAACATGACCAAGTAAAATAGATAGTAGAAGTCGTTGGTGCTGTCCACTGACATAAACCAACGCATTCTGACGTTCAGTTACTCTCAGCACTTTGCAACCATGTGCGGATAATCTTGATTTGTCGCCGAGCTTGGAATCATCCGAACAGCAAAATTCGCACAAGAAACGATCATGTTTCATGCCTGGAAACGGTAGAAGCTTGCGCTTCGCTAGTGGGGGCTGGATTGATTGTAATGTTTCCATCCAACTGCACCCACCGTACTCCAATAAGATTGCAAGCATGATCCCATTTTGCTTTGCTCGTGATGGTAGTAGTAGTAGCAGCAGAAGCAGCAGCAGCAGTAGTAGTGGTAGTAGTAGTGGCAGTAGCAGTAGTGGTAGTAGTAGTAGTAGCAGTATGGAATGGTCTAGTAGAAGTCGTAGTAGTAGGAGTAGTAGTAACTTAGTAGTAGTAGTAGTAGTAGTTCAGCCGGAGTTGTCTTTACACTAGAGTGCTACTACTACTACTGGTTGACCACTATTACTACAACAATGGACCATTGCCTATTTAATGCTACTGCTACTACTACCAAGTAAATTGTACTACTACTACTACTATTACTACTACTACTACTACTACTAGTACTTGACTTTTAGTAGCCCTAGTTGTATTGCTGTGGTTGCTAATGTAGTAATGTAATAGTAATTGAGTTCAGCGTAGTGGTAGTGGAGGTGGAAGAAGTAGCTAGTACTTTAGCAGTATTAGTAGTAGTAGTAGTAGTCGTAGTAGTAATAGTAGTTGTAGCAGTAGTAGAAGTAGTGGCAGTAGTAGAAGTAGTAGTAGTAGTAGTAGTAGTAGTATGTAGTAGTAGTATGTAGTAGTAGTAGTAGTAGTAGTAGTAGTAGTAGTAGTAGTAGTAGTAGTAGTAGTAGTAGTAGTAGTAGTAGTTGTAGTTGTAGCAGTAGTAGTAGTAGTACTAGTGGTAGTGGTAGTGGTAGTAGGAGTACTAGTTGGTAGTAGCAGTAGCTGCTTGGTTGTGGTAGTTCCAGTCGTAGTAGTAGTAATCGTAGCAAGAGAAGTCTAGTAGTACTTAGTAGTAGGCTAGTAGTAGCAGCATAGCGTTGTAGGATTTTTAGTTTGCGTGCGGTAGGAATATGTTTAGTAAGTTGCAATTGTATGCGTGGTCGGTGGTAGTAGTGGTAGTGGTAGTGGTAGGAAGTGGGAAAGTGGCTGGCAGTAATTGTAGATGACGTAGTGGTGGTAGAAAAGCAGTGGTAGCATAGCAGCAGTAGTACTAGTAGTAGTTGTAGTTAGCAGTGAATGGATCATGGTAGTCTGGTAGTAGTAACTTGGTAAGTAGTAGTAGTGGCAGTAGTGGTACTTGGAGGAAGTGAGAAGAGACATGGTCAAACTGTCATTTTGGAATGTAGGCTTTAGCAAGTCTTTAAGTAATAAAGCAACTCATAGGTTAGAACTGGCAGTGGAAGTAGTCGTAGTAGTAGTAGTCGTAGTCTACGATAAGTCGGTCAGTAGCAACCAGTAGTTGTGGTGGAAGCAGTCGTGGTAAAAACATGGTGGTAACAGTAACAGTAGTGGCAAAAGTATGTAGTAGTGTTTGCATTATTAGTAGCAAGTAGTTGGCAATGGTACTATCTAGTAGTTGTAGTAGTTGTCAATAGCAATGTAGTAGTGGCAGTTAGTAGTCTAGTAGCACTAGTGTGGTTGTGGTACTAGTAGTAGAAGAAGTAGACTTAGTAGTTGTTATACTAGAAGTTGAAGTAGTAGTAGAGCAATAATAGTAGTTGCAAGTAATTATAGAAGTGGGCTACCAGGGGGGGGCCAACGAAGCTGGGGGGAGGGGATCAGACCTACGACGAACACCCAGGAGTTGGACCCCTTAAGTGTTGGAACCCAAAAGTCTGTCCTGACATGAGCTTGACTATCTCAAGTGGTGAACCCATCAAAACAAACAAACATGCTCAAGGGTGCACTGGGTTCATCAACGTGACATCCTCCAAGACCAAATGTATCCGTTAGGGGACCGCGGGATACTGTTCACTTGAAGGCGAAGGGGCCAGCATAGAGAAGAGGCCCATGTTGCCGGCGTTCCAAATCCTCGATCCAGCCCCAAGTCCAACCAAGCCCGCCCCCGCACCACTCACCGAACACGAGATTCGAGATCCCGCTACAAATGAGGGTTTTCGGGGTTCGAGGTTAGCCTGCAAACAAGAAGTCGGATTTTGAGAAGGCGTGATGGGTGGGTGTTCAGAGTGTGAAGTCTTCTCTTCGTCCACGAAGGGTCAAATGCTTTTGGTTCAACCCCAGTCTAATGTTGACCCCGGGCTCATCAGCCCCGGCGAATCAAAAGAGGTGTTTGCCCAAAAAGTAAAGGCTCCCCACAAGACCTGACACCCCCCTTGAAATCAACCAGGGCATATACTGAATTTTGGTCTCTGGATCCGCGTTCAGTATGACCCTGAAGGGCCCTTCGGCAGCCACAGGCCCCTTGACCATGGGTGGGTGTTTGAGCAAACGACTTAGGCTGCGGTCGGCTCAGGATGAAAGCACCTGGGAAAGCATTGCGTACATTCTTGATCACCCTTGCTCTTACGTGTTTGTTGAACATATACAGTATCGGAACCAAACAAATATGAAGAAGCTCGTTCAACGTTCAGCCGAAAGTCCAACAACTCCCAGCTCGGTTTCAGTGTTTGACCGATTTGTCAAACGACGCTCTGGAGACAAAATGCCAAGAAGTGGACAACCCATGGCTTTTGACTCACATCATCTACTCTTACTGAGTGTATCTTAGATTGTGTAAAGCTAATTCAAAGGAGACCCCAGCTAACCAAAGGCCCACAAAAGCACCAGGAAAGGTTCAAAAGGCAGCCTCTTAGAAGAGGCTCTAGGCTTCCTTTTGAACGTTTCTGTAGTCTTCGGTTCGGGGGCCGGAGGCGTTTGGGAGACACGAAGCTTTGAGCCAAGCGCACCTGCACCCCAAACTCACCACATGGGAGGACCTTTGTTGGTGCAAACAAAATGAAGCCAAACTTTAACAGGAACACCTTTGCCGCTTGAAGCACCCGAGCCTAGGACCCAAAAAAGTCGTGGAACAACTTCTCTCCTCCTGAACAACCACATGCTGACGAATCTTTCAACTCTTCAGTAGAAGGAAAGCACTCCTTTCTGGGTTATCTAAAAAGGAGATCCCTGTTCTGGGTTCCCCAAAGGAGACTCCTCCGCTGGGCCAACTTCTATTCGCAATCCCAGAAAACACCGGGCTCGGGAATTTGCAGCTTGGGTTCCGGTCGAATACTCATGATTAACCCAGAGGCGAGAAGCCTTCGAACAGCACTCCGCAATATGGGCATACTCTTTTCTGCCGGTGGATGTAGCAAGCAACCGCAAGGGAATTGTGGCCATATTCACTTGTTCAAGTGGCTGTGCTTCCAAGCATCCTAGATACGGCAACAAAGCAATTATGCAGAGGGCCCCCCTGATGTTTTTTCCTAACAGGGTTCTCACCCCAGCAAGAAAGTGGCCCACAAGGTGATGAACAAAAAGCGGCTCTTCAAACGGGAATGTAGGAAACGACCAAGGATGCAACCACGACTGGGACTGACCTTCCCAAAAAGTGAGTCCACAACCTCAAAGAGTGAGACATTTTGGGGCGTCATTCAGGCCGAGGATCCAAAGCATCCAGGGCAGGTAACGGATGGCTATGTCGCGGTCAAAGACACGGATCCAGGAGACCTTCACGTCGCGGAAGGCCTCATAGCAGAGATTCAGGTTCATGTAGCCTCGCTGCGCGAATCGACGCAGGGCACACGGCTAGTCGTTTATAGGGGGCGTGATTCGAACGGGGGTTTGGGGTGCCATTTAGACAAAAATCAAATTTGTATTCGTACTGAATGAGCCCTTACCTACGCTGAGTTTGATGAAGATAATGAAGACCTGTTCTCGGATTTAAATGATGCCACAGCTGAGCTCTCCGTTGAGAGCAAGCTGCTCAAGTAAAGGATATTGGAAGCCTATTGAAGCCTCAGAAGTGGGCCCAGTGTCCAGTGTCCGTCAGGACACACCGAAAGAAAGTGGCGCCCACGACTCTCGTCTGAAACAGAGCCAAGGAAAAAACACGCACTTTGAGGGAAAGAACCTCGCAGACCACAAAACGCGTCACCCAAAGGCAAGACAAAAGGCTAGGCGCCAGCAGGCGGCAATCGTTCCGAGCCCTTCTATTACATTGTGGCGTTGGATTGAAGGGAAACCAAAGAACACCATCCATTTTCTGTGGGTCTAATATTGAGACAACATGGCCCTTGCCCTGCCTGAACCTCCACGGATGTGCATCGGAACCCCTTCGTGTGGAATCAATGAATGCAAGCGTCGTCCAAAAATCGTCTTTTTGTGGGACCGGCGGCCAAGCCCTTGCGTGCAAAGATCAGGGTCGTTCCGAAGACCCGATTGGGCATGTGTCAAACTAGGGATTCGAATACCCCAAAATGACGGGTGGCGTCAACAACTCTCATCCAAATCGACAACGCCGGTGACAACATGGCCTCTGCCCTGCAAAATCAAAAGCAATTCAAAGAGCTCCATCTTTCAAACAATCGCCATCTCCCAGGCAAATTCCTCCTGGTCGCAACCCAGTTGGTTCATACTCGGGGGTGTCCCATGAGGAGGGCATTCATCACTTTTGGGGAAGAACCCCCTTTTGGTTGGTGTTGAGGGAAACCCCAACAAGCAACCCTTGCCATTTTGGGGAACCGATTCCAACTTTGAGACCCCCCCTTCTGCGGTCAAGCAGCAACCTCTCCGATTGTGAACCTCCCTTCCAGATTTTGGCTTTGCCTTTCGGCCCCGCTTTCGAAGACAAGGTTCTGAACAAAACAAGTTGCCAAACAAGGTCGGATTGTAGAAACCATTGAGGAGTCCCTCAATTTCCCTCCTGTCTGTATGCAGACCCTGCTGACAAGTAGCACACCGCGCCATTGCGATCGATCACCTCCAGCGGCGTTGTGTAGCGACAAATGACCTGGCAGTGTCTAGAACACACTGTCTGGCCATTCCAAGGCTTGTAAAAGACTTCTATAGTTTGAGGCCACAGCCAAACCGATGGCTTTGTTCCCGAGTCTCCGAATAAGGGAACCCTCAAGATGTCTGGCTTCTTTTTCATTTCCCTTTAAAGCTTTCCCTCTCCCTCTCCCACTTGCCTCTCTCTCTCTCTCTCTCTCTCTCTCTCTCTCTCTCTCTCTCTCTCTCTCTCTCTCTCTCTCTCTCTCTGTCTCACTCTCTCTCTCTCTCTCGTTAAAATACGTTGGTACTTTACTGCAAGTGCAAGTGTTGTTTCTGTTGTCACAAACACAAATGTAGTTAGGCAGCATGCACTCTTTTCCTGGTAGACTCAAGGCCTGCAGTCGGGTAGTGTACATCATGCATGCACAAGTGACAAGTAGTGCAACATGATATTTGACACGGCCCCTTGGTTAAAAGAGTAGTGTCCTTTAACCATAGACCCAAAAGGTGGTATTGACAGTAGTGGCAAAAACGAATGCACATGTTGTTTGCCGATGCTACTGTAGCGAACAGGCATGTGGTCTCTTAAAAAAGATGACCGAAGGTAGGTATCCACAGCGCTGCTGTCTGTAGTTCAACTAACCTTCAAATTATCAAAAAGTGAAATTGCTGTACAAGAACCCTAAATGGCTCTCAGTCATCTCGTAGTACGATGACGTAGTACAGCACGTAGTTGCAGCTCCACCTAGAGATTAGGTGTGCTTAGTCCAGTGTTGGACTCGGTAGTTCTGGACTTGGCTGATGCGGTAGTCCAAGCCTGCATAGTGGTTGGTAGTGAATGTGTTGAGGAAGTCTGGACCGCCACGGAGGCGGTTGTAGTCGCATTCTGGTGGTGCAAGTGCTTGGCCGGTTGTAGTGAGGTAGTTGTGGAGTAGTAGTTTGTGTTGTATGGAAAGATTTGTAGCCGTGAGGAGGGTGATGCCGTAGTAGGTGACACTTTTGTGTAGCATCGTGTTGATGGACTTGTAGTGGTGGTCTTGAAGTTGTTGCGGTTGGTCGAAGTAGTTGAGTAGTTCTGGTAGGTACAGGGGCATGTGGTAGTTCCAAATGAAGTTGTTGGACAGGTTGAATGTAGTGGTGATCTGGTCCAAGTTGTAGGTGATTCGGTGTAGTCGTTGATGTAGCTGGCGTGTAGGTAGGTGGTGCTCGTCTTTGATTGAGATCATGTGGCTCACGTAGTCGCGGCAGAAGTTGATGAGTTGTCCAGCACTGACAAATCGTAGTAGAACTTCTGGTGGAATGTGTAGTTGGATGATGACCATCGAGTTGGTGTACTGAGTTGTGAGGTGTAGTGATGTTAGGTTGTAGTAGTAGAAGTTGACTGCCTCTGAAAGACGTAGGTGAAGAGGTAGTGAGTCGTAGTGTGGCATCCGTAGGTCTGAAGGTAGGTCGTGAACTGGTAGGTTGTAGTTGAGCTCGGGGATGGGTGTAGTTTGTTGTTGACTTAGTAGTTGGAACTCCTCGAGCGTCAAAGCCACGTAGACCCTGAAGTAGTTCTGCTCCGGGTCGATCGCTGGAGTGTCAGGGATGTTGTTCTCAATTGTAGTGAGGTGTGCCAAGATGTCGTCGGGTCTGTAGAAAGGTGCCGGTGTGGGTAGTTGGTGATTGAAGTTGTAGTTGAGGGAGTTGTAGGCCTCAGGTGGTGGTGTGGCCAAAGTAGCCATGCTGCTGGAGTCGGTAGTGCCCTGCCGATCCGGTGGTGTGAAAACACGGTCCGGTGTAGTACTGCCAGCCTGTTGTTCGACGGGCAGAGTCAGAGTAGTCTCTGGCGCTGATGTAGTAACCTCCATCGGCATGACATCCAGCGTAGTCGCATCCATGGGCGTAGTTCCAGCCATTGCTGGTAGTTCGGCCTATCGAGATGCAGTGAAACGGGGCAGACAGTAGTGAGCCAATGTTACAATCTGTGAGCAGCGAAAACGATGCCCATCTGCGCAGCTCCTTTTGACTGCACCACAAGGATCTGTATGATGTGCTGCTGACGATCTATCGCTGCCGTGCAAAAAGGGCAAATGTGATTGGATCAATTTCTGTTCCATTCACAGCATGGCCACATCAGCAATGCATGCATGCCTCTTCAAGGCTAGGGCATGGCCACGGGGTAGAAAACAGGAGCTTGAGATTGAAATGAGCGGGCATCTGGATGCACGCCCCGAGATTAAACATGTTTCCAACCTATACAATCTGTGAGCAGCGAAAACGATGCCCATCTGCGCAGCTCCTTTTGACTGCACCACAAGGATCTGTATGATGTGCTGCTGACGATCTATCGCTGCCGTGCAAAAAGGGCAAATGTGATTGGATCAATTTCTGTTCCATTCACAGCTTGGCCACATCAGCAATGCATGCATGCCTCTTCCAAAATCCATTATCTGGTTCTGGCATTACCGTTCTGTCGCAAGGCTTTTATCAGCTTGCTGGGAAACTCTTGAGATTGCTTCAGAATGCCAGCATGGCGTGATGAAGACACGGTCCGCCACTGGCGGATGAGAACTGCATGTTTCTCATATCTTCGCACTGAACCTTTTGCAAGCCACCGTCCTCGACGCTGAATGGCCATCAGGTCGCGCCTGCCATGATAGTGGTCGCAGCTAGGGCCAGAGTGCCGCAAAACGTGAGGGAGGAAAATTCCCGCAGAGTACTTCAATTTCGCTGCGGTGGCAGTGAGCACATTTTCATACTGTGCCAACGTACAACGAGGAAAGAGTTCATGCCCAGCTTGTTTCATGTAGAGGCCCATAGCAACCCCAATCCATTCAAATCCAGGGATATCTGCAATCAGGACGGCCTCGTCGAAACTGCCGTTCTTGGAGGCAACCCCCAAATCGAAAGGTGAAATGACGAGGCCCCACTTTCTGTATCTTCCCGCCGAAGGCTCGGCAACGTGATCCTTAGTCAATCCCAAGACCTCAGAGGGCCTAAGGTAGCAGTGGAACTGAAGGACCATGGCCATTGCCACATCAAGTCTTCCCTGGTCAAGAAGAGTTGCGGCTACATCGAAAATACACTCCTCAGGCAGTGGGAGTCGGGACCGGCCAGGGCGTTCCTTGTTCCAGCCAGCCAGAGCGTCTTTGGCGCCGCAGAGAAAGTGGCCCTTTGGCCCTGTGTTGTGGAGCAGCTGAAGGCCGTAGATGAGGTATGATGCATGGTGTGGCTCAACTTCCATCTCGTCATGGAGATAGTTCATGTATAGCCCAACTTGGCGATCCAGCTTGGCTGCGTCTCTGAAAAAGGGAAACTTGCCATGCTTCAAGCCAAGCCAGTGAGATCAACGTTCAATCTCAAGGTGATATTTATCCAGAGTCTTCTGAGTCACCTTCAGGGTGGCCAGTTTTCGCGGACCTTCAATGGGTCGCTTGGTCAGATCAACCCTGGGTGGCAGTTTGCCCTTCTTGTCTCTGGCCAACGAGGAGGATTTGCTGCTTGGTGTACTGACCAAAGATGACGCCCCTCTCGCGGATGAACTTCTCGGCTTCGGGGATGGCATCGGCGATCTCTTCGAAGTCGCCGCCTTCAGCAGTTCTTCTGACATCACGGCGGCTCTGTCTGTGCGAGCAACGCGTTGCCCCCATGAGCGCAGATTTGAACTCATGACTGAGTCGACGGATCGCCTGAGAACTACTGGCCCTAGAACCAAAGAATTCCACAACCAAAGATGCCCAAGCCATACACAGTGACGTAGGATACTCGCCAGCAAAAGAAGCCTTTGTCCCCCTTCTCAACTTACCATCCACCCTGCGGGTCTCCGAGCCTCGCAACTGTTGATGTCGGCAGTTGCACCGGCATAGGAGACCCAAACCTGTCAGAACATTCATGTTTGTGAGAATTGCAGTTGGTTTCTTGTAGGGAGCTCCGAACCTGCGTCCCAGCGAACAAATATGGAATCTCGGTGTCTGAAAACGGATTGGAGGGGCGCAAAGTCCCAGAGGCGACTGTGCAGCGGGTTCTCCACTGAAAAGTAGCCCCCAACTCGCAAAAGAATGCGAATACAGCGGACAGTGAAGAGTGCCAATGCCACACCCTCTGATTCGTGTCTTCGCGCAGTCCGGAAATTCTTCAAATTGTGGCGAGCTCTGCTAAAAACTCCGCAGGGGGTGCCAAAATGAACATATCTGACCCGTCCTGATGCCAGGAGTCGTAGGACTGCCTGTTGGGTGCTCTGTCGGAGCAAGTTGAACTCTGTACCCTTTGCCCACTCCATGTCAGGCAGAACTGGGAGACCATGAGACTTGAGCGCCAAGGAAAGGTGACCACTCCCGGAAAATATCTCAAGACAAATAGGTGGCTTAGCTTCAAACGTGTCCTCTGTGCGCGATGTTGACAAAGGGGTCTCAGGTCGGAAGTCCTTCCCGGTCGGCACGTGGCCATATAACCCCAGCGAATCAACATCAACACTGCATGAATGAGATCCCAAACCAGTCTTCAAAGGAGATGCGTCACTTCGATTTCCAAACATTCGGCTAGGCCTGTCTGCCGCATTCAGCTCGCTCCGGATATGGCGAAGTCGCCACTGTATGTTGCCTCCCAGCTGGTAAGCGGCGGCCCGACGGCACAAAAAGTTCAAGCGGCCGGAGCTGGATCGGCCCTTCTCAAAGGCCAAAGCGCAACTGAGATTATCGGTGATAGATAAAGCAACTTTCCCCAAATTCTTCGTGGATCTCACCAGTCTACGAAGCCCCATCAAACATACTTGGCCCTCCTTCTCGTTGATATGAAAATTGGGATCAGGCCAGGCTTTGGCTGTGATCAGCTGCCATCGATGCTGCTGACTCCAACATTGCGAAATGTCGGGAATGGGGGGTCCACAAATCATGGTGGGCTCGGATGAAAGAAAACGAGGTTTCTCCCTGGTCCGGCGCGTCGTTTTGCGAGGGACCCGGTCCGAAAGTTCTCGACCAAAAGAAGTGAGGGATCCGAGCGAGGGCTCCGCACTGCATCCCAAATAGTGGGTACCTTGAT